GAGAGCCTAGGCTGGCACGGCACTTGGTCAGACCACGTGAGCTTTGGCCTAGATTAAAGCACCACCCTGGGAGGGGGTGAGTGGGGTGCTGCAAAGCCCCATGGGTTGCTGGTAGAATGCAACCTAATGGGAGTCATGATGGGATGTTCATTACAGAGCTCTAACGTACAACACTGAAGTCTGATACCACATCCATCCAGGGTTATCTTAGAGCAGGATATGCCATTTGTACAGCACTCTATGTGCCCTGACTGTCTGTTTGGTTACAGCTATAACATGCGTTCTGCACTCCTACCGCACAATAAGTATAACTTCTGTACATTGCCTATGACTTATAGAGACTTCAGCCTAAGGCTCCAACAGCCCTGTAAAGGCTGCATGGGATGGTAATAGTCCAGTTCTGAAAATGAAGTATGTTCAGACACTGAATTCTGAATTAAATTAAGTTCTTGATCTCTGCTGACTATTTGTCCTGGGTTATCGTCTACCTCATGCCCTCTTGGATCGCATTCAGTTATTCAAATATCACTTTTGGCTGAAAATGGGTGTGGAAATAACTAGATTTAATAACTAGATGGAAGATTTTTTTATGACTACTTTGCTGTATGATTGATTGCATCTAGTAAGAAGACTTGAATGTGGCTGAGCTCTTTGTGCTGGAAGTTCTGTCTGCAGAGCAGTATTGCTGAATTGTCACTGGATGGCTGAATTTGCTCGGTGCTTGTCTATACATGTTACTACAGACATAGTATCTTGCTAATAATCAACAGTGCTGCTTTTCTCTTCTGTGAAGCAGTAATTTTTTCTGCCTTTTAAAATTGTTTTTCCCTTTTCCACAGTCTTAGAAAGACAGACAGTCTTAGAAAAACAGTGCATTTCTGGAATCAAAAGTGGAAGTCTGTTCACTTGCTTATCAATTCAATCTGTGCAGCTAAGACTAACCTGCAAAGATTTAATCAATTCAGCCTTGGTTTTTTTCAACCAGATTTTTGACCTTCTGTACTTAGCCAACAGGTCTAAACTGGCCTAAACCAGACCAAACCAGTCTGTGCCATTCAAAACAGTTCAAAGCGACCTACACTGGTCCAAACCAGGCTCCACCAGTCTAAACTGGCCTATGCTAGTCCATACTGGTTGATATTGGTCTAAAGCTGCCTAAACAAACCAAGCCAGACCAAACCAAACTGGTCTACACCAAACTGGCAGTTTAGATCAAATCAGTCCTAACTGGCCTATATCACTCCAGACTAGTTGAGACTGGTCTACATCAGTCCAAAACAGTCCAAATTCAGTCTATCTAAAGGGGCAAGTGCAGACAACATGAAATTTTCCATTTACAGCAACACAACTACATTTGTGTTTGCACGACCCAGGATTTCCTGCCACTTTAAAGTCCATTTAGTGCCATATGCTAACACCGCTCCAAGATCTTTTAGCCTGCATTGCTTTTGTGCTATGCTGCTCCATGTGCCAGTTTCGTTGGTGCCAACAGGCAGAGACTCCAAAGACTTGTAATTAATCCCCTTCTCCATGAGGGGCCACTGTGTTCTGGTCTTTAGTCAGTAGGTGGCACTGTCTGGGTTTTTTTTTTAACCCTCTTCACACCTCGCCCCTCCCTCACCCCTCCCTCCTCCAGAGTCAGGTCACGTTGGGACATGTGTGCTTCTTTGCTTGTTTGCTTATCCTCTACTTTTAACAATTTTATGACTTTCAATCAAAAGTAAAATGATGGGGCAGAGAAATTTCATTTTCTACCCCCTCTTAATTGTTCCCACACCTATTGTCTATGTCTTACCACCACCACCCGTGTACCCTCCTGTCCTCCAGCCTCACCTCTCTTGGTACCCTCCACTTGCTGTGACCCCTTCGCACTCCATCAACTGCCAGTGCAGTAACCATGGCTCCCAATGGCTATGACGGCTATGACAGTACTGGGAGAGCAGTAATTTTTCTGTGACTATATATTTTGAAACTTTGTTGGAGGGAGTGAGTGACTTTTTTCAATATTGCAACCTGAACTTGCATCACATTCCCTTCCAGAGCTGCGAGTCCAAGACACTGCCTGCCAGGCTCAGCAGCTGGGGTATGCAGTGTCCCAGATTATATTTAGGTAATATATCCCACTGACCCTGTGTGTCAGGGGCGGGGGGAAGGGGAGGAGCAGGGATGTGGTTCACAAAGTCCATTTTTTCAACTATGCACCAAGCCCCCCCATTCTTCTTCTTCTCTTTTCCTTTCTCCTCCAGAAAACTTTAATAGGTGGAACTCACAGGCCACTGAGGAGGTTGAGGTCACTGCAACTACTTACCCTTTTTTTGGTTTGTTTTTTTTTTAAATTTACATGATGGACAACCCTCAGGGCACAGACAAGTGTTATCAGGTGTCACTTACCAATGGTGTAGTGTAGCACATTGCTACATTGTAGCACATTGCCACTTCATAAAGTGGGGTGTATCTTCACTGCACCCCACTTTATCAGCCTGCAGTCTTTGCAAACCCTGGATTTCCATTGTTGTGAGCCCCAGGAGCAAGTCTCATTCCTGGGATGAGTCCTTCTCTGCCCCTGCTGTGCCTTCTCTGCTCCCTCACCCACCTCAAACCTCCCTCATCAATACAGTGAATGCATACCATGACCTCTGCTCCCCCAATTTATAGTGCTCAAGGGGGGCACCCCCCTCAGCAGCCTTGTTTTGGTGTGGAAAATGAGATAATCTGGTTCTGGGCTGGAAAAGGGTGTGAAAAGAAGGTGGAAAAGCTTGCAAAGTCCCTGGGTTCATGTACAGGCAAAGGTGCAAACCTCAGGGCCCCACCATCCCCACCCTAGGCCTTGCTCTGGGATTTCAAACAAGCTAGACTGGTGGGGAGTGACAGAGGAGGCATCCTTTGTCTATGCAGGCCAGGAAGCAGCCCCTCTGTTTACCTATCCCTGAAGCCCTGCCCCCCCCCCACCCCCAGTGTACCTGTGCAAGTGGCTGGTTGGTGGTGGCTTGCAAAAAAGGAAGCCAGGCTGGTGGAGGGTGACAGAGGAGGCAGAGGTTGTGTGCAATCAAAGCTGCGAATTCCAGGCCACCCCCACCAACAAAAGGCCTCACTCAGGTGTTACACACACACCAGGAAGCTTTGTGTAGAGTGAGCCAAGAAAGAGCATGAAGCAAGGGGGGATATGGAGGCAGACAGAGGAAGCCAGGAAACTATTATGAGCTTTTATTGTTTGCAATAGAGTATTACAGCTGTTTCTTGGGCTTCTTTGCCTTCACCCCACCATGACCCTGAAATGCTCCATCTCCCTGAAACACAATGGCAACCTCCTGGCCCTGCTGGCAGTCATATGGCCCTGCTGTGACCCCACAGAGTTAAGGGGAACAGGCTCATCTTGCACAGAGGCAAGACGAGCAGACTGACTTTTCCCTTTCAGGCGTCATAGGTATTTCTCTAAGGCTTCCTTGAAAATGTCGTTTGAACTATGGAACTCAGGACTGGACTTGTCGACTGCATCTTTCAAATTCCTCATGGTGTCACTGCACTTCCTCGAGGATGGCACAGTGCTTACACAGGGAGTCACAAAGTTTGTCCTGACAGGAAGCTTTGCATTCTGCTCTGGCTACTAAGGAGTCCACCAAAGCCTTGAATGAGGTTTCACAGGTCTGTCTGTGCTTGCTCAGAAAATCTCTGCAGCGCTCTGCTGAAGTGCAAGCGGGGTGCTGTTCCCAGCAGATCACGGCGGCTGATAAACAAAGAAAAAAGCAAGGGTTGCCTTTGCAACCCCTCCCGACCATGCAGTGTACAAAATCCCAGCAGGCATGGAAATGGACCCTGCAAAACTTTGGTACCACTTGTACTGCCCAAAACTTACAAATGCCTGCTGCTCTGGGAGGAACACATCTATGGCTGCCACTGCCTATGCTAGCTGCAACAAATTAATTAAAGCAAATAATTAGCTATCAAACCTGGCTGGCTTGCACCATCACCAAAAGAACATGGCAACCCACCTACAACAACACATGAATTTCCCCCCACCCCATCTCCCTGGTGCCCTAAACCCAACCAGCAAAAAGCTGGGAGTTGCCTGGCAGTGGCAAGAGGCACATTAAAAAGAGACTTACCAGATGTTTATCCCTGACCCCCCACCTCCTCTGATTCATCATCTGTGCTACTCCATGGAATGGGAAGGCTAAGCGGGAATAACTCTAAGGTGACTGATGCTTCTTCCTGCAACTGGTCATCAAGAGGGAACACAGAGGAGTCTCTGAACAGCTGAGACACAGTTTCAACCAGAGGAGGGGCTGCTGCCACCATCTTCTACTCCTCCTCCTCCACCTCCACCTCCAGCCCAACCCCGGTGCTGAAAGTCTGCAAACCCGGGATATCACCCACATCTCTGCAGAGAATGATGGACAGCTTGTCATAGAAGGGAGCAAGTGTGTGACCTGCCCCAGAATGAGAGTTGGCATCTTTTGCCAGTCACGATTGTGCCCTCACGCTTGCATGCCTTTTGCAATATCAACATAAACAGGCTTATTCCTCCTACTCTCCAGCTTGTCTATGATCCTTTGCTCTGACCAAATGTTGATTAAGTCCTCCAGTTCTTCCCGGCTCCATTTGGCTCTATGGGTGTTGGAGGTATGCTGTTTTACTGTAGAATGCTGCAGGAAGTCCTCAGCAGGAATAGGACACTACACTTTTCAGTGGTAAGTTGTGTGATTCCTGCTCTTACAGCACAGGATACATGGTGTACACAGGGGAGCAAAGCGAACAAGTGGAATCTGACCAGGCTCTGTCAATAAACCTCAGGAGGACGAGCAAAATTCACATGATGTGGGTCCATGAGAGAATCTCAGACTGGTAGAAGTGAATCATCTTGACCACTTGGAATGACCAGCAGTGGCTGGAGATGTTCTGAATGAAAAGGGAGACATTCTACTATATCATCTCGATCCTGGGCCCACACATCACGAGGCAGGACAGAAACATGCATTGGGCCATCCCACCAGACAAGAGGGTTGTAATGGCCATCATGAAGCTAGCCAGCCCATCCAGCCTCCGCTACATTGCCAACCAGTTCAGCGTGGCTGTCTTCATGGTGGGGCAGGCGACTTGTGAGGTATACCAGCTGCTTACAAATTTATCTTCCTGGCGAATCCACAGCAAAGGATGGCTGGCTTTAATGAGAAGGGGTTCCCAAACTGCATGGGGGTTTTAGACAGCACTCACATCCCAGTGCTATGCCCTACAGGAAAGGATATGCCTCGTGATCCTGTAAGCTGTGGTGGACCACCAGGGCTCATTCATGAACATTTTTATAGGGTGGGCCGGCAGCGCGCATGTTGTGCAGGTGTTCTGAAACTCCTCTCTGGCTGGCATCATGGAGAAAGGAGACTATGCACCTGGCATGGAGGGGAGAATGATCCGTGGTGTTGCCGCCCCCCCCCCCGGTCATACTAGCAGATGCTGCCTACCCCCTGAAGTCCTGGTTCATGAAGCCTTATGGAGGGAATGTCACAGATCTGCAGAAGCTCATTTTTAACTACCACCTCAGCAGTTGCAGGATGGCAGTGGAATGTGTGTTTGGATGACTGAAAGGATGATGGAGGGTGGTTACGTGCCGGCTCGACATGGACGCAGAAAATCTAATGCCCTTTACTGTGGGAGTGTCTGTGGCCACTTCTGGGAGCAGCTGCAGTGATAGGCCGGTGCTTGCAGGGAGGACACTGGTGCTCCTGCCTGCCCCCCTGCCCATCGTCTAAGCAGCGAGTGCAGCCAGTCAGGGGGTGCACCGACGCTCTCAGGGGGTGCACCCCCATTCATCACTACTGCAACTGATCTAAACCAGTTCAAACCTGTCTAAACTAGTTCAGCAGTCAAACTGTTTCAAACTGATCTAAATAGTTTCAAACTGATCTAAAACAGTTCAAACCACTTCAATCTGACTCAATCTGGTGTAAACTGGAGCTGACAATCCCTTTCCGATTCATCTAGGCATTAGATTCAAAATTGCCTTTGTGGCAGCTGAAAAGTATGTCTGTGTGATAAAAGAGCTTGCTGAAGGCTCTATAAAGATTAGACCAAGTGTTTTTCTGTATTTGTTTAGATATTAAGCTGTAAGTTGTTGCTAAAAGCCTAATTATAGTTTAAGATGTAGTGAGGCATTGTATAAAGTAAGGCCTTGTAAATTTAGCAAAGCCTAGAAGTAGTAAGGCCCTGTGGCGCAGTTAAAATTACCTTATCAAAGGAATGCAAGGCTTGTACTGTTATTGGTCAGTCTAAGGACAGCTGAAGAAAGGAATCTAAGTGGTCGTACATTATCAGTGTCCTTCAGAAGCTATAAATTAGCTGAAATATTTGGAAACCATTTAGAAGGAAGATGCAGCTCTGTGAAAAAGATTAGTTAGCTGTTGCCTGGATCAGTGGGCCCATAGACCTCTAGGAGCACAAGAACTGCATTCCAGGGTCCTTCCTGGCACCCCTCAGACAGCGTTGTTCGGGGACACCTGACCTCGCTGAACTTTGTGGAAAGAGAAGCTTGCTGTGTATCAGGCATCAGAGGGACTACCAATAAGTTGCCGATGGGATTTGCTTTTGTCTGTCATTGTTTGTCTTGTTATTATGCATAGTTGTGTTTTTCTTAAGTCAATAAATCTTTCTTACCTTTCTACCCCCAACCACACTCTCAATCCTAAACCCTCCACAGGTGGCTGGGACAGCCTTAAACCAGGTTTAAAGGCCCCAATACTGCCAAATGGGACAGACAGTGCAGTTTTAATCAAACCAGTTCAAATGATGTGAACTGGTTCCAAGACATCTATAGTTCTCTAAATGAGTTTAAATCAGTCTAAACTACTCCAAACCAGCCAAAACATGTCTAAACTTGTCTCTGGTTTAGACCAGTTTGAACATGACATCAACTGACTCCCTTAGCACTGCCTGTCTTGTATAATCAAGTACTAAATAAATGTGCAGTACCCAGAGTTATTACGCAGTACCCTTTTAAGTGAGGCTACTGCCTAATAGTGTGCAATAGCATATTAGCATTGTTAGTGATGTGATGCAATAGTGCGCAGTATTATTTGGTGACTGCACTGTCAGCATCTTGTGTAGACATGCCCACTACTCACTGTCCTACGGTGGAGTAAATTAATCTGCTTTACCCTAATTGCGGTGCATGTGTAGATGGTTAAGCTTTACTATGCATTAAATTAATTTATTGCACAGTGAAATACACATACAGACACACCCAGTAGGTATTTATGTTCACAGGCACATACATTTCCTAATTTCATATTTAAAATATCAAGAATTGTCATTTAGAACATTTTATTAAAGAACTAGATTTGCACATTTCCTAATGAGATATATTCAATAAGCCTTTTTATATACAGCTCTTTACATTCAGGAGGCTATTATCAAAAGCATAAGGAAGAGAAGTTTTTTCCTGTTGAAAGTTTAAATTCTGTATATGTAGAAAGCTCAAGAAAACAGTTTACTATACAGCATTTAAGTCACAACTCCAAGATGGAGAAATATTGTACTGGAAGATAAGCCACCCAGATACATTTAGCTACATACCATTCATGTGAAGGAAATAGTAAATATGAACAAAAACATGGTTACAATGAGCTTTTCATAAAATATTTACATTCTGTCAAATAAGACTTTTCAGGTAATATTTAAAAATATGAATCCATTTCTATGGTTCACCTAGTGTGAACCATAGATCTTGATTTACTTTTATATAAATACTAAAGGTGAAGGCTCCATTAAATCTAAGTCTATGATTTTGGACCTAGAATGTTCTCTTTGCTACAGAAAATTACTCAAATTTATGACTTTATTGTGATTTAGGATTAGTTTGTAGCCATTTTATTTTAAAATATCATTTTATTTCAAGAACCTTTTAACCTGAATTCCAAGTACCAAACTGAATTCCAGAAACAAGGTGGCCAAACTACTGCTGTAAAATTAGATTTGATATAAAAAAAATCTGTAAAATATATAGGATGTGTTTATATAAGCTTGAGTCCAATTTCTTGGTCAATCAGAAATAAACAACAATGTATCTAAATAAAGATGGCCTGAACTTACTGTCATACATATACAATATTCAAATAAAAAAAATAAGTAAATGCACACAGACTTCCCCATATTAGATTTAGAGGGTTTTCAATATTCATGAATTAAAAATACAGGAAACAAAAGGTCTTTGAGGTATTAAGATGGCTAACTAATACAGCAATATTTAATTTTCATTTTGCAGTGCTCCTGTACCCAGCCAGAATCTTAAGACTGTAGAGACATAAGATTTCACCTTCTCCACTAACTTGCAACAGAAGTTGCAGAGTTAAGAATCACAAATGGGTCTGTCATTCCATCCAGTATTATGCACGTTTTACACATGGGCACACACAGAGACATTAAAAGGGGAGTATGTTAAACTGGTCTGCTAGCATCTCTTATATGAAAGCGTTCAAGTTCAAGAAGCTGGTAACAGCTATGCAAATCATATTTGGACTGGTGCACCATTTAGGCATATGAGCCACACTAGAGAGCAACACTAATCTTCCATCCAGAAGAGGACAATATTTCTTAGCCTCCACCCCATAACCCACATAACCAACCCCCTTCCCTACCTCCTATCCATATCACTTACTTATGCAATAGAAGCAGCCATAACTTGAGGAAAAAATGGAAAATCTGATTACCCAGATGCAGTCAATCTCTCTCCTGTGGATTTCACACAAAAAAAGCAGTTGGCTTTGAATGCTGATTTGCAGTAAGTCTCCAACATAGTTGTATTACTTGAAGGATGGGCAGAGAGTTTATTTTTTTAAATGTATATAGGCATGTAGAAGCCAGGCAACTAAACAGAGCAAAATGCCTAAGAAAAATGGATTACAGTTGCCCATATAAATTACTAAGTTTTAAAGTTTAGTGGCATGCCCAGTCCAGAAATTCTTTGGCTCCCTTGATTGCCCTCACAAAAATTCAATCTGTCCCTTTCTGCTATAAATGCCTGCCTGCCTTCGACTAATTATTTGTCCTCTCTCAGGACCCTCTTCCACATGTCTTAGTTCTGGCTGCCCTACTTTATTCAACCTCCTTACAGGTCCCCTTTTCCCCAGCCCTCTTTTCCTTCACTCCCCACCCCTCTGTTCTTCTTCTCCTGAGTCCATTACCTTTTATGCAGGTTGGGCTGGATAAGCACCTTGCTAAACAGCTGCAGTTGTTTTTGCTGGCTGTGGCAACTTCTCCTAGCCTTTGTTCTTCCCTTACTGACTACTCAGCACTCTCTTTCCTTAGCTCCACCCCTTCCATCATTAGAGAAGAGGAGACTTGCTGATATCAGGGCTGTGGCATGACTGTGAGGAAGAAGAAACTCTCAGTTCTGCTCAGCTAGCCAAAGGCTAGAGGCACCTGGTGAGGAAGCAGTGGAGGCAGGGGGAAGAACGGCAAAAAACAGGTTGAAAAGCCATTGATCCAACAAAAACCTCTGCAGATCTAGGTCTGGAATTCACATTATGAAGATAATCTGCACCCTCAAATTTTTTGCAGATCAAGCAGTATCCTTCTCATCTGCGGATACTCTAACTCTCTCCCAGTACCAACATTAGTGGACTGCAGAGGCAGGAGAGGAAGCAGAGGAGGAGGTTTCTCTGCAACCAAGCTCCATGCTTTCCAGCTGTCCTGATATTCGCAGTACATATACATTATTTGGTGGCCTTTGTTATCACCCTTTGGCAGATACCCAGAGGACTTTCTGTACAACTGCATGCATTGTACTGCAAGGGTATAAACACTGGCATGCGCAGAGCATTTTCTATAGTTCTGGAGGAAATCTATGAACATCCAGTGTCAAAGAGACTGGGGTGAGCTAGGTGTGTCAATACCAGTTAGCTAATGTTGCCTGTATCCTTCTTCCCAGTCTCCCCAATAGGCACTGAAGTCTTCTAGGGTAAGATAATAAAGTACAAATGAGGTTCTTTGGTTTTGGGACAGTTTTTCTAATAGTGATTTGGTGGTGAGTATTTTCCAGAATCATGCCCCTGGCAGGGATAAGCTGAGAAGAAAGGAAATATATACCAAAGTAAAAAATGAGGACAGCAAGAACATAGAGGAAAATAAGAAAGTTCTGGTAAAGCAATTAAATAAAAATATGTTGTGGGGGAAGGGAATGCAGAGTAAAAGAGATAAAGCACTGAATAAAATAACCCCCCAAAACCAAGAGAAATTCAAATGGGAAAAGGGAGAAAAATCACAGGACACAACTGTAAAAGAAAGGGAATGAGATTGACAGACCATGGCAAAAATAAATCATAAATTTAAAATAGGCTTTAAAAAATAAATAAGGGAAATATATAAAAAGAACAAAAAAGGTAATGGAAAGAGAACCAAAACACAAGTAATTTTTTAAGGTCAGAAGAGTTCACATGTGTCAGGGAACAGCAGCCCCAAGGTCATGGTGGGCCGAGAGTGGTATCAGATCGGAACAGGCGGGAGTAGCGGTGAGGAGTCTGAGTGGTACGGGACACGTGCGGTTTCAGAAGATGGATTTTATTTACTTACGCTTCTGGAGCGTAGGTAGGGAACTTGCTTCAGTTACAGTTGCAATAAACAAACACGAACAACAAAGGGGTCTGTTGGCCCACGGGTTTCTCGAGTGAGCCCTTGCTTTCTAGCCGGAGCTAGGGGCGGCTGCCCAATTCGATAGTCCCAGGGCTGGTCAACAGCTCATTGATCAAGATAACAAATAACAGAACTGTAACACATAGAATGTCGTGACGCCAGTCCAATGTGGATGAAATGGGTGGTCATTAAGATGCCGAAGTTGATGTGGAGGTTGAAGTTACGATGTCATAGCCAGTGGTCGAGATGTGGGATCGTGGTCGAGGTCGAAGCCGGAAATTAGTTCATTAGCCAGAGATCAATACGGAATAATCAGATCAAGATGAATCAAATAAATTGCAAAAATCATAGCTGCGAGGAGACCAGCGGGCCTTAAGCCCTCCTGAGGAGCAGTCCCTGCAGCAGCAGCCTCTGCTCTCAGGATCGGTTTGATCTCTTCCTGTGAGACAGTCTCTGCTAAGGCAGTATCTGTTGAACAGGTTGAGTATGGTCTCCCCCCTGAGGAGCATTCCCTGCGAATAGCAGCCTCTGCTCTCAGAGTCGAATCTCTCCCTGTGAGACAGTCTCTGCTAAGGCAGTATCTGTTTGCAGGTCGAGCGTGGTCTCCCTCCTGAGGAGCAGTCCCTGCATTAGCAGACTCTGATCTCAGGGTTCGGACAGGAGACCAGTGGGCTTAAAGCCCTCCTGAGGAGCAGTCCCTGTCAGGCCAGCCTCTGCTCTCAGGACGAATCTTCCTTGTCAGCACCGCTGTCAGAACCCCCCAAAACTCTCTCTCTAACTCTCCCCTCTCTAACTTTTTCTTGCTAACTCCCCTTTGGGAGGGGCCCACTAGCTCTCCATGACAACCGGGCAGCCAATCAGGTTGTCTTCTCTAAAGAAATTTCTAGTC